TCACGGGGAGGAGACAAGTCAGTCAGGGTGCAGTGTAGCATCAAAGAAACACACGACTTTCCTCTAGTTCTTGAATGCTTCCCCATTTCCCCCTCCCCACTATCATGATCCTATTCTACCTTACAAATCTGGCTAGACCAGAAGATGTACAGTGGTGCAGATAGGAACTGGAAACACAGGGAATCCAGGAAAGATGAACCCCTCAGGACCAGTGCTGAGAGTGGCAATACAGGGAGGATGGAGGGAAGGTGGGGTAGAAAGGGGAAACCAATTACAAGGAACTACATATAACCTCCTCCCTGGGGGATGGAAAACAGAAAAGTGGGTGAAGGGAGATGTCGGGCAGTGTAAGATATGATAAAATAATAATAATTTATAAATTATCAAGGGTTCATCAAGGAGGGAAAAAACGAGGAGCTGATACTCAAGTGGAAAGCAAATGTTTTGAGAATGATGATGGCAACAAATGTACAAATGTGCTTGACACAGTGGATGTATGTATGGATTGTGATGAGTTACACGAGCCCCCAATAAAATGATTTAAATAAATAAATTAATATAATTCTGTGGTATTAGCAAAAATAAAATAAATAAAAGAAACGTATTTTAAAAATAAATTAATTTTTTGTTAAAAAAAGGAACAAATTGAGTCTTGCTATCAAGTGGTCTTTATGCAATTTATTTCATTTTGCTTACTTGTGATTCAAGGAGCCCTGGTGGCACAGTGGTTACAAGCTGGGCTGCTAACCCCAAGTTTGGCAGTTGGAAGCCACCAGCCGCTCCGTGGGAGAAAGATGAGGCTTTTCACTCCCATATACAGTTACGGTCTTGGAAACCCAGGAAGGCGATTTTACTCTGACTTACAGGGTCACTGTTGAGTGATTAGTGACACAGAGGTGGTGAGTTTGTTGTGATTCGAGGCTCCAGGAGAGGGGGTGCCTTGTGCAGGCTGGCATGTGAGTTCCCTGAGTGTCACTGTGATGCGGAAAGCTTTGCCACCATTACTTCAGCTACCAGCAGGGTTATCCATGGTGGGCAGTGTTTCAGCAGAAGTTTAAGACTAAGGCAGATTAGGAAGGAAAACCTGTGGATGGACTTCGGAAAGTCCCTGAGAGGCCTACAGATCATCATGAGTATTGTGCTGCAGAGGGGCCCCTGCCTCGCCAGGCACTCAGAGCACAGAAGCCTCCACATGGACTTGAGCCCTCCGAGGATCAGGGAGCTGCCTTCTGTTGTGCATGGAGGCGCCCTGAGTCAGAGCCGACTGAACGCAGCTAACAGCAACAACATGCACGTATGTGCACACACAGCGGACAGCATAGACATATGTGCACACACAGCGGACAGCATATACGTATGTGCACACACAGTGGACAGCATAGACATATGTGTACACACAGAAGACAGCATAGACATATGTGCACACAGCAGACAGCATAGACATATGTGCACACACAGCAGACAGCATAGACGTATGTGCACACACAGCAGACAGCATAGACATATGCGCACACACAGTGGACAGCATAGACATATGTGCACACACAATGGACAGCATAGACATATGTGCACACACAGCAGACAGCATAGACATATGTGCACACACAGCAGACAACATAGACATATGTGCACACACAGCAGACAATATGCACATTTGTGCACACAGCTGACAACATAGACATGTGCACACACAGCGGACAACATAGACATATGCACACACAGCGGACAACATAGACATATGTGCACACACAGCAGACAGCATAGACATATGTGCACACACAGAAGACAGCATAGACATATGTGCACACACAGCAGACAGCATAGACATATACACACACACAGTGGACAACATAGACATATATGCACACACAGCGGACAACATAGACATATGTGCACACACAGCAGACAGCATAGACATATGTGCACACACAGCTGACAACATAGACATATATGCACACAGTGGACAACATAGACATATACGCACACACAGCAGACAGCATAGACATATGTGCACACACAGCGGACAGCATAGACATATACACACACACAGTGGACAACATAGACATATGTGCACACACAAACAGAACATATGGAGAGTCACATTCTGGGTAACTTAGATGTTCTATAAGGCACACATGTATGACAGTTTTTATGTTTGACACATTCTTCATAATAAACCCAAGGACTAGTTTCCATCTGTAAGCCACACTGAGTAAGTATGAAGGGATGTAAACACGCGGCCATCTAGCTCAGAAGCAACAAAGTCCACATGGAAGCAGCACACCAGCCTGTGTGACCACGAGGGGTCAAAGGGATCAGGTATCAAGCACCAAAGAACAAAAAAATCAAATCATCGTGAATGAGGGGGAGTGCGGGATGGGGACCCAATGCCCATCTGTAGGCAAATGGACATCCCTTGCAGAGGGGTAGTCAGGAGGAGATAAGTCATTCAGGGTGCAGTGTAGCATCGATGAAACACACAACTTTCCTCTAGTTCTTAAACGTTTCCTCCTTCCCCCACTATCATGATCCCAATTCTACCTTACAAATCTGGCTAGGCCAGAGGATGTACA